TTAATCTTGAAATTTATTAATTAAACTTAATCATCCAAATTGAATTCTCTGATCAATAATACAAAAGAAAATTATATTTATATAACACTTAATTTAATTTATTTAAATCTTTAATTCTGTTTCGTTTTTTTAATTTCCATAAAGTTCACACTTAGATTTAATAAAAGTCGAACTGTTGTCTAATACTTCCTAAGATGGAATAATTAATCAATAATTTTATATTCGAATCTTTTAATTTTTTTATTCTAAATGTTTTTTAAAATTTGATAATCTTATACTATTTTAATATCCTAAATTTAAGAATAGTCTTGAAAATAGCAAAAGATCTATATTTATTCTTGATTCTTAGATACAGTAATAATTTAAGAACTTATGATAAGAATAGTTATTTATATTTTATTAATTTACATGAATAAATTAATTTTTATTCTTATTGAATCTCGAACTATTAGATTTGGGTGATTACAATCCAAATAATCACTTATTTTTGATTTATATAATTAATGGTAAAAGAACTATTATTTTTATTAATGTGAGATACTTAATTATCAACTATTTTTTGATGATTATTAATACTATTTACATTTTGCTCATTTAAATTAATCACATTTTATAAATCTTAATAGACATAATATTGGATTATTGCTTATGCCTATTATTATTTTCGTTGTTTATGAATTAAAAAAAAATGAATATCACTAGTTTAAACAATTATTTTAGGATTATATATTCAGATATTCAAGTAAAATAAAGTAAATTCGAAAAAGGTATTATAAATAAAATTTTTATGAAGATATTAGATTGATATTGTAATTATAATAAATTTAATAATCATTAGAATGTTTCGATCTCTAATTCTTCAAATTCTTCTAACCCAAATTATTCTTTCTAATCTTTTGTCCTATACCAAATTAGTATTGTTGCTGCTATTACAACTATAATCAATAATACTATTAGTGCATATTCAAATCCAAAATCTATTTAAGACTTATATTTAAAAGTATAATTTGCGATCATTTTATTCACAAAATTATAAGCAGTTAAATTACATGTATCAGTTGAGTTTTAAAGATAAATTTCAATTTTTAAGCTACTAATTTTATAATAAGGGGAGTTTAACAAGAATCCATACGAACTATTAAATGTTAAAATATTTTATGTGTGGTACTATTATATAGCTCCTGTAAGTAAATATTGGGAATCATAATTTCCTATATTTAAATCAGAAACATTGTAAAGAATCGATAATGATTGATATTTATGGATGTTGTTTTTGTTTTGATAATTTACAAAAACTAAATCATTAGAAATTGCTGCATCAACAAACCTATATAAATTATTAGCCATTATTGTAGGAGAATATTACAATAATCGTTTAAATTTTAGATAAGATTGTGAAAAATCCATTTAATCAATTACATATTCTAATTTGATAATAATATTGAACTGTTTGATAAAGCACATAATTGCAAATTAGTTGATTTATTGTTTAACTATTTAAATTCCAACAAGGTATGAATCAAATTAGAAGTAATCTTATATTTATAAATGTTTAGGTGAAATAAAAGTTATATTTTCTTGTTGATAACGCCGACCTAATTAATAATATAATTTTGTATCATTTTAACATACATAAATTATTGCATAAAAAGATTAATTTGATTGATAAAAAACAAAGGGTTAAAAATTAGGCATCTAACATTTTTTTAGGATACTTTAAGAAATATTCAAAGATGTATCATAGATTGTAATAAGATAGTAATCAGAGATGTATAATATGTCATCTTAAAGTATGAAATTATTCACATATGAATAATTGAGTCTAGTCAAATAATTAATATTACCTAAAGATTAATTTGTTATATTGATCCTAAAAAATTCATATTCTTAATAACCTAACGAATTTTCTTGATAACAATTAATAAATATATAATAAGCATTCATTAGGGCATTAATCTTAATACATTATTACAATTCTTTATATTCCTCCTTATTTGATGCTTAAATAAGTTTACCTTCTGAGGTCATATTAAAAAGTTATAAAAAGTAATTTTAATAACTAAAATGAGATGAAGTATTGCTGCATAATATTTATTAATTAAAAACTGTAATTATTTAGCATTTAATAGAAGTCAAATTTGTTTAATTCAAGATATTGATAACCTAGGATTTAGAGTTTGTACAATTTATATCAAACCATCCAATTTATCCACTAAAAGTTATATTATTTTGTGTTAATATTACAGGACTTTCTGACACATTAAATGTTTAATTATTTAATGAAATATTCAAAAAATCATTCAAAATGATGATTGTTTAATTTACAGGATTATTGATGACATTTTAAGTTCCAATTTAAGATTAAACTGAAAAATTATATATATTAGACCACGAAGTTATTTCATTAAGGATTGTATTATTTTAAGTAGTCTGATAAGAGTAAATAAAAATTGGAGATAACAGATATATTTAAGAATTGAATGAAATAAAAGCTACATCTGAAGAGTAAGTTGTAAAATAGGATCCAGTATAGTTAAATGTATAAAATAATGAAGAATGTTCAAGCATAATAGGATTATAAACATAGATTTAATTATTAGTCTAAACATAATAAAGAAGATTATCAGCAAAAAATTGAATATTATTTGTATTATAAATACTATTTAAATTCTTTTCTAGAAATGGAAAGTTCAAATTTTGAACATTCCAAACTTAAAAACAAATAAATTAAATATTTTAACAATTATAACTTAATATTAAACGATTATTTACAATTTTAATATCCTAAACCTGAATTGTAACATTTATTATACTGTTAATAATATAATTATTCGATTATGTTATTTATCCAATAATAATGCTACTTTAATTGTTATTAATAAATAAAGTTGATGAAAATTATTATTAATTTAATACAATACCAACTGGAATAAAACTATAATTATTAATTGTTAAATTTGAACAATATCCACTAAAACTGCAAATTTATATTACTTTTGATTCAAGCAAAAGTACAATCTATTGATATAGCAAATAGAATTATTAGAAGGCTTCAAAATTTAAAATTTATGGTGAATTTAAATCAACCTAACAATTAATACATAGATATAATTGTTATTTATTAATTTAAACTCCAAAACTACAGGAATATTAATAGGCATAACCTTAAATTTGATTATTCTTAATGTTAATTTATGATTAGTTAGTACTAAACTATTAACATCTTTATTGGAATTGACCATCATCATAATGATTCTAGTTTTAACATAAATAAATAGTTTAGTTTATTATTCCAATAGCTGTATACATATTCAAAATTTGAAAGTTTTGAAATGATTTCAAGTTTTGAAATGATTATTAATTTATGAAGCTAGCATTTACATTATAAAATGTTATATCATTAAAGTTCCCCAANTTTACCTTCTGAGGTCATATTAAAAAGTTATAAAAAGTAATTTTAATAACTAAAATGAGATGAAGTATTGCTGCATAATATTTATTAATTAAAAACTGTAATTATTTAGCATTTAATAGAAGTCAAATTTGTTTAATTCAAGATATTGATAACCTAGGATTTAGAGTTTGTACAATTTATATCAAACCATCCAATTTATCCACTAAAAGTTATATTATTTTGTGTTAATATTACAGGACTTTCTGACACATTAAATGTTTAATTATTTAATGAAATATTCAAAAAATCATTCAAAATGATGATTGTTTAATTTACAGGATTATTGATGACATTTTAAGTTCCAATTTAAGATTAAACTGAAAAATTATATATATTAGACCACGAAGTTATTTCATTAAGGATTGTATTATTTTAAGTAGTCTGATAAGAGTAAATAAAAATTGGAGATAACAGATATATTTAAGAATTGAATGAAATAAAAGCTACATCTGAAGAGTAAGTTGTAAAATAGGATCCAGTATAGTTAAATGTATAAAATAATGAAGAATGTTCAAGCATAATAGGATTATAAACATAGATTTAATTATTAGTCTAAACATAATAAAGAAGATTATCAGCAAAAAATTGAATATTATTTGTATTATAAATACTATTTAAATTCTTTTCTAGAAATGGAAAGTTCAAATTTTGAACATTCCAAACTTAAAAACAAATAAATTAAATATTTTAACAATTATAACTTAATATTAAACGATTATTTACAATTTTAATATCCTAAACCTGAATTGTAACATTTATTATACTGTTAATAATATAATTATTCGATTATGTTATTTATCCAATAATAATGCTACTTTAATTGTTATTAATAAATAAAGTTGATGAAAATTATTATTAATTTAATACAATACCAACTGGAATAAAACTATAATTATTAATTGTTAAATTTGAACAATATCCACTAAAACTGCAAATTTATATTACTTTTGATTCAAGCAAAAGTACAATCTATTGATATAGCAAATAGAATTATTAGAAGGCTTCAAAATTTAAAATTTATGGTGAATTTAAATCAACCTAACAATTAATACATAGATATAATTGTTATTTATTAATTTAAACTCCAAAACTACAGGAATATTAATAGGCATAACCTTAAATTTGATTATTCTTAATGTTAATTTATGATTAGTTAGTACTAAACTATTAACATCTTTATTGGAATTGACCATCATCATAATGATTCTAGTTTTAACATAAATAAATAGTTTAGTTTATTATTCCAATAGCTGTATACATATTCAAAATTTGAAAGTTTTGAAATGATTTCAAGTTTTGAAATGATTATTAATTTATGAAGCTAGCATTTACATTATAAAATGTTATATCATTAAAGTTCCCCAAAGTGGAATTTTCTACCTAGAAATTTGCAATTAAGAGGGAACCTGAAAATTCTGAGAAGAAGAAGTTTAAATTTTGACTCTTAAAAATAATTTAACTTTAATTACTAGTCTCATCATAAATTAAATATGTTTAATTATCATTAATTGGAAGAACACTAACATTTAATTCTACCGTACAATTTTAACATTAATAATCATCAGTTTAATTTATCTAATATGGAATTCCTATAATAATAAATTGATAATTTGATTAATTCTATTCAGTAATGAATTTTATCTAAGGATAATCTACCAAATATGTTAAAATCTAAGTATCACTGAATATAAATAACACATTGCTATTATAATCAAACGATATTTGAGTAGATGAAGAATTTATTTTAAATCCTCCTATTAAATTAAAATCCAAATCTATAATTTCATAAATCTCAATTAGATCAAATAATTATAAAATTAAGAACTAATTACTCAAGAAAACTTGATTGTTTTATGTATTAAGATATGATTATTTTTACCAGCTAAAATATCTATATGAATAACATTCTGTCTAGTTACAAAGTGTTTATTTATAAGTCATTTACTTTGCGATTATTAATAAAATATCACATTCATAAAATATTCTTTACGGATTGAATATTTAAACTGCTATTATATTTTAAACTAAAGGAAAATAATTATATGTTAAGTTCAACCCTTATTAAGTAAGATTTAATAGATATATCTAACTACTATTCCATACATAAATTGTATTCTAAGATTGTAGTTTATCAGAAACTATAAAGTTAATAAATGGTTTTATCCAAGTGGATATATTTTATAATAAATTTTGACTAAATTAAAATTAGGTTAAAATTTGATAGTCATCATAATATTATGCATAAAGAATAGAATTAATTGAATTACTATTAAATGATTTAAGGTCTGTTTTTTATGGTATTTATTCAACTAAATTAGAATAAACAATAGTCCAAACATTGTCTTTATAAATATAAATATTTAAATTAGTCAAATTGTAGCAGTCAATTATTATTGAATTCTCTTATAATAGTATAGAATTTAAACAAATTTGTTATGGTAATTCCACTTAATTTATTAGATTTACATATGTAGAATTCATATATGTATAATTCCATTTATAAATATTTAATGTATTCGCTTAAGTAATTAGTAAGAATAATGAGGATGTGGAGGATATTGAAATAAATGTTTAATCTAAATAATAATTATAATAATACTGTTATTCTATTCTGATAATTTATTTACTCCATTAATTAAATACACATTGTTAGGGCAATCCTTAATACTGAAATTTTGTGTTTAATTTTTAAATAATTTTTTCATGTAAAGTGAATAAGTTTCTCCTTAGGTCAGAATTACATTGTAATTTGAATGTATTGCCTAAGCATCCAAACTTATGAATAAAGAGCATAGAAAAATCATTTGTTAATTAATTAAATGAATAAATAAATCTTCTATATATTATCTTTAATAAATATATTAAAACTCAATTATTTATTATTATTATCAAGTGATAAATTTATAAATTTAAGTGCTTTTCTTAAATAATCTTTAAATTTTCAAAAAAATAAATAATATATACATATTATAAATAATTATCATTAATCAATTAAGTCTATTACATATTAATT